TGTTCGAATTAGATGGAAGTGGTGGTTGCACAGCACGGTGACTGTATTCAGTGTCACTGAATCATTCACTTTAAAATGGCTAATTTCATGCTGTGCGGATTTCACCTCAATAAAAAACAAATTAAAAAGGTTTCATGCTTCCATGTAAACATACACCTAATTGAATAACAAAGTTGAGAAAAAAGATAACAGGAACTTTCTGCTTACAAGGATTCCGTGGGAGGGCACCAAGAACATTGCCCCTACCCCTCCTTCAGACAGGCCAGTTGTCCAGCATGTAAGCAATTCAAGGGTCATCTGTGAAAAGTCAAAGGAATATGAGGATTAGGATGTGTTTTGGTGATTTCCCAGTTCTCTTACAGCAAAGCATTTTCATGTTGTTTATACTCCTGTAAAACTTTGCATTAAACAGGTCGTAATTTATTATAGGGTAATAAAATTATGATTTTAGGGTGGCTCATGGTTTTCAAAATTACAATAGATTTTAAATACCTTTATTGTTTAGGTGAGGAAGCTGTTATATATGGAGATTAAATTGATCACCCCATACGACACGGCTGATCAGTGGCAGAGCCAAGACTTGGAATTAGATTTCCCACTCCTAATTAGTAAATTAAATAAAAACACGCCAGTCTAGAGGGTGCAGTAAATGGGAAATGTCTCTTGCATAGTTCTCAGTGTGCACTAGGGCTGTACCAAGCAGGATGGTAAAGCTTATTCTGCCTGACTCAGTCTTTGAAGCAATTGTTTAGAAGTTACACCAATAAGGAAAATTTGTCTATGATATTGTTTAGAATTGGGGGCTCGTGGCTACTTTTGTTTTAAAATTCTTTACAATGTACCCCAGCACCCATGGCTGCCACTACCCTGACTTTGGAATGCAACTGGTGAACTGAGAGTTAATAGCACCCATTTAAATTCCAGTGCTGTGGGTTGGGAGCTTAACAGCTGATAATGATAAGCTGAGATTTGGGCTAGGATTCTGATGGTGGAATCAAAGTGAGGATTTAGAGTATATATTCTGTGTCTGCTATACAAAGAATTTGTTTTCCCAGACACATGGATGTTCATATCTTGGTTTAAGAGTTATAAGAGTATCTAAATGTGAGAAAATAAATATTTGGCTTCTACAAGCTCATTGTGTTATACATCCTAACACTATGCCAGGTATGTTCTTCAAAATGAATAGTTAAATACCTCTTCCCTAATTTTTAAAAAACTTGTCCTCTATTTATTTAATGTTTGTTACTTTGGATGTAAAAACGAAACTTGGAGAGTCAGATGATTCAGTTTGGCAGAACGGCCTCACTCGCCTTGCAAACAAACCGTCAGCAAGAAAATGCACTCTACGGTTGACAGAGGTTCAGCTTCTGTACTGACTGAAGTGGAGCCCAGCCAAGAGCACACAGAGAACACTCTGTGTAGCTGATTGGCTGGCGCAGGAGGCGCAGGATACATAAAAGGCGGCCGTGGAACATCTGCAAACGTCAATGAGATTCATCAGGGGACAAACCTACGGTGCTGTTCAGACGGAGTTTTCGCCATGAGCGGGTGCCCCTTTTTAGGAAACAACGTTGAGTGAGTATTTACCTCTATTCTAAGTGTGGCTGGAGTCTTAGAAGTGACAAGGATGAGTGCTTTAATTTCTGAATCTATTTAGCATAGAAAACTGTCACCTTTATTGGCTTGTTTA